ACATGAAATTCAACACACAAGGTGAACATTTTAGAAAACTCTGGCTTTTCTCTCTGTGATGACAGTTATTTAAACAGTGAAATGATTCTTCAAAGTGTCAAAAGTGAATGTTCTTACAAATGTAATGCCTGGGGTGAGGGTGGGGTGGAGGGCAAGGATCAGCAGAAGGGCAGGTCAGAGATCCTCCGATGTCAGGGAGCCTGGCTGCGGTGGAAGGCGGGACACAGCGGTCTCACAATGCACGGCTGATCCTGATGCACAAGGTAGCCTGCACTTGGGGAGCCGCTGCCCTGGTCCTTCGCCTTGTATGAGGGCTGCCTTTCCTGCTGCGTTCCTGTCTCCCAAGGGCAGAACCACACGCAGCAAGGCCAGGTCTTCAGGCTCTCATTTCCACCTGTGCAGCTCTACCCTCGCAGGAGTCTGGGCTAAGCAAGGGCCTCAGCCAAGCCGCCAACTTGGTCCCTGCTCTGCCAGGTTCTCAAGCGGCACTCACACTAGCAGGACTGGTGCTCACCCTTAAGGAAGAGAGGTCTAGGGCTGCCTATTGACTGCTCACTCTACCAGCCATGCTGAGAGCTTGCTGAGCACCATTTCATGCCGTCCTCCCAGTAACCCCCATTTAACGGTGGGAATGGGAGGCTGCGAGAAGTTACATTCTTACCTCAGGTTATTAGGTAGCAGAGCAAAGATTCCAAACCATGTCTCCTGGCCCAGCTCTCATGTTCTCAAAGGGATTCCAACCCTTTTTGTTCCATAGGCCACACCAGTGTCTGGCAAAGCCCAAAGGACTCCTCCTTGGACTGTTGTTAAATGCATAAAACAAAATACAGAGGATTGCTAAGGAACTGGTTAGACAGAAATATGTACAAGATCTGACAGCAGATCTAAATGGTGCCATAATTTCAAGACAGATCTGAAACTGTTGCAACATCATGTGAAAACATCATGTGAAAATCTGTTGATGAAAAAGTTTCAGGTGCTGTGATCTGTGGCTTACCTTCATAATTGAAGGAAATGCTAGAACTTAGGAGATATAAACATGTCCTTTTTTTCCATCCAAGTTCACAAACCCCTGAATTGGGTCTGCAGACCCTGAAGGTGTAAGGATCAAGGTTGGGAATGCCTGGTCCATTCGGATCCAGGCTGCTTTTGAGGCCCTTCAGTAAGGCCCAGTTCTGGTTCTGATGTGAGCCGTTAATGCCATGAGAGGAGTGAAGCCAGGGCGCTCCCAAGGCCTTGGGTTCTGCTCCACAGGCAAAGTCAGGAACTGCCAGGGGAGCAAGTCCCGTACTCACTGCTAGTAAGCCCCTCTGATACGGGGCTGATTCTTTGCCCAAACCTCAGAGTGCAAGGGCTGATGCTGGGAGCCATTCCAATGGCTGGCGCATGGCTTATTTGTGTGACACCTGGCTCTTCCACTCAACACATATTTAACGAGACACGTACTTTGTGCCAGGTATTAGGGAGACCGAGAAGAGTTCAAAGTCTGGTGGGAGGACAGCCAAGAAGTGGGCCTGGTGTGGGCCCAGCATGGGGGAGGTGGGATTTGACCCATGTGGTGAGGTGACTGGATTGAGTCTGAAGGTTCTCACAAACCTATAGACAAGTCCACCCACGCAGCTGTTCAGCTAGGCAGAAGCCAAGAGACCCTGGAAGCCTCTGCCGTCAATCAATTACCTGTCAGCACTGAGGAGGGGTGTGTCAGGAAGGGAGTGAGAAATCTGAGGCAGGGAAAGCTGCGGCTGCTGAGGGAAAAGACTACAATTACCCTTGAGCCACGCTGGTTTGGGCTGTGTGGGTCCACTTACATGCGGATTTTCTTTTTCAGAAAATATTATGAATATACTTTCTCTTCCTTACGATTTTCTTAGTAATATTTTTTTTGGTACTTTATTGTGAGAATACAGTACGTAATATGTATATGTGTTAATTGACTGTTATCAGTAAAGCTTTCAGTCAACAGTAAGCTACTAGTTCGGTTTTGGGGAGGTCAGAGGTTACATGCGGACGTGTGGGGTCAGCATCCCTGACCCCCGGTGCCATTCAGTGTACTCAGGTCTGCATCAGCCTTGGAGAGTCAAGAGCCTACCCCACAGAACTTCTCCCTGTCGTGCCTCTGAGGGGCCCAGGAGGGGAAGGCCAGGCTCCTGTGGTGCAGGGGTTTATTTATGTCGGTTGGTGCATAGTCAGAACCGGAATGGCAACAACAGGAAATTGTAAAATAATTAAACTGGACTTGCAGGGTAGCAGTCCCCTGAAAGGGTCCATTTGCCGCAGTTTGGCCTCTAAGATGACAGGACAGAAGTCCAATTTGGTCTTTGCAACCAGAGACCGACTCAGGAGAGCCAAACCCACACGGGGTTCCTGGTGACCTGAATCCACCCTTCTCAGGACTAGGACAACGGGTCAGCTGGGGAACATGGGATCCGACACAATGAGCTCGAGCTCTGAGGGGCATTCCATCCACCAAGCACGTGGGTAGTCTGTGCCATGGAGCCCACCTTTTGGGCCCTCTGGGTGGACCCAGCCAAACTACCCCTTATTGATCTGCCTTCTGCAGCTCTGATAATACCATTGCTTTGGCCGCAGTATGTTTCACAGTCAGCTGGACCCGAATCCAGTTCCAGGTCCCTGTCCTTCCTCCTGATCCTAGGAGGTGTCTGACTCCGTGGCCTCCTAAGGCGCCTTCTGCAACTGGAGAGCCCCTAACAGACCTCCGAGCACAGGCGCTGACCCTGCTTACACCACCCGCTTGGCCTTTTTTAAAAAACCCGCAGTACAGTGAAGCCGCAATAAGTGAACCTCGGTATAGCGAGGGACGACTGTATACTTGGCATCGTGCGAAAAACCAATGTAAGGAACACATTTTAAAAGAATCCTTGTCTGAGATGATCTCTTATGAAAAACAGAGTCTCACCCAGTTTGCAGGTGAGCAGTAGCACTGAGTGTTAGCTAGTCCTTTCCCTACCTAAAACTGCTTATCTAAAAAGAGCCGGGTTGAAAGGACTTGATTGGAACAAATTGTGCAGGTCTTTCCGTGAGTTCCTTAACTTCTCTGAGTCTCAGTGACCTCTTCAGAACTGGCAGAATCACACTGGTTTGCAGGGTCTGTAAAAGTTAGAGACAATGTAAGTAACACATCCTGGATCCAGTCACCCGTCAATAAGTGAGACCTGCCGTTGCTGCCCTGGAGCTTTTAGGTTTTTCTTTTCTAGGCAGCCGTCTTGGACAGGACTGTTCCAAACTGCCCTCACGCCTTCTTCCAGCAGCTTTGCACGTCCAGCCACCGCCTTCTAGCTTTTCCATCCATTTCTGTTAGCGGAAAGCAAGCCATCCAGCACTACCTCAGTGTTACTAAAGGATTTTCAACATTTTATCACCCCATGGCGCACGTGAACTAAGTACTAAAGTTCCAAGGCACACCAAAAAAAATTTTTTTTGTCCATCTGACAAAAAAATGTGTATAATTTTGATTTATTCATTAGACGGCTATTGTTCTGTTGGCTGTTGTCAGTTTTTAATTTGACAATCTAAGGGAAAGGAGGTCAGTGCCCCTGACTCATGAGCCAGGTACTGCATGTTTTAAACATTCTCGCGGCACTCCAGTTGAAAAGCACTGCTTTATTATAGCATTTGTTTCAAGGTATAAGTTTTCCACATTAATTTATAGTGGTTAAGTTCAATTTAAGTTCTAAGAAATTGTTTTCTGCAATAGGAGACTCTTATGAATGGAAGAAAGATAATTCTGCTGTTGGAAACCGGGGGCACATGTTCCGTAGAAGTGGCATTAACTCAAGTGGTCGGCGCCCCAGGCTGCCCGCTGGCTTAAGGCTCACGCTCTGCAGACAGGCTTCTGAATTAGATGAATCACCAAGGGGTCTTGTTCAAGTGCTGAAGCAGATGCAGTTGTGGGGAGAGGGGCTGAGATTTGATGTTTCTAACGGCCCCGGTGATGCCCATGCTGCTGAGCGGGGACCCCTCTGGGAGCAGTGGCAGGGGCTGGGTGGGAGAAGTTGGGATTGCTTTGGGTGAGAAAGGGGGTGAGGTACTACTGGGACTGGGACCCTGCGGGAGGAGACCCAGGGAAGGGACTCCAAGGCCTGAGGGAAAGGGAGACGGGATTTGTGGCTGGTGTAACTCCTGGAGCTTCCTCAGCGCAGTTTCGGCTGCTACCCACCAGGGTCGCCCTAAACTCTCCCGCTCAGCCGCGGAGTCTGGCCTTTCCTGTGTTCCCAGGGCGATCACACTATGCACAAAGCTTTCCTCATGAAGCCCACTTCTAGTAAACAGCCCAGGGGTCACAGGTTTAAGTCCCTGTCTCTTTTCACCCTCTTTTTTCCCCACTTAGACCCTACAAGGAAATTTCAAGGAGCACACTAGGAATCGAGCCCCCTCACCCCTCACCTTACCTGCTTACCTTACCTTGTCTCTGTTCCCTTTCCCTGGAGGACTAGTCCTGTGAAGGCCAGAGCAGAAGCAGATTCATCTTGACGTGCATACAGTGTGTGCCCAGCCGCAGGCAAATGTCAGGAATCTGCACAGAAAAGAAAGTGGCGAGGCATGGGATGGAGGAGGAGTGGGAGAGCAAGAAGGGGTCTTGTCATGGAAACGAGTGAGGACGAGGAGCCACTTGAACATGAGCCTTTGCCAGAATACGTGTCCAGCAGTATCATGATGACCTCCAGCTGCTCCAGCCGTAGGCCCAGGGCCCTTGCACAGGTCAGCCCCCCGACCTGCTTAGGTGGGAGGTAGGATTGAGCAGCAGGGTGCCGGATTTTGCTTCCAGTTTCGTCAGGCACTCAGTCTGAGAGACCTCCCTGCCAGGGTCCTTCTGGAACAGTCGTATCTTAGCAATGTCATGAAGGTAATTCCACCTCTTACAAGGGCTGGCCTGTGTGAATGGCTGTCACTTTGGCGAGAAAGGGGGAGGAAAAGGACAGAGTATTGCTAAGAAATCTATTCATGACCATATTTTGTTTCTATTTCTTTTGTTTGTACAGGTTTGTCAGCAAGACTGTTGAAAGCTTAACTGTCCAAGATGCCCGTCCCTCCCCCTCCAGCACCTCCGCCACCGCCCACGTTTGCCCTGGTGAGTCCTTCCTCATCCTCTGTCATCCTAGCATAAAGCAGACAAATGAAGTCGACCCTGGCATCCATGTGTTTGTTTCACACACCTTTGCATTCTGGCTTAAATATGATACAGTGAGCTTTCCAGGTGCCGGAGCAAGCCAGAGCCTGCGCCGAGGCACATGTAGCATGGAGGGCTTGCCGCCTGAGGCCTCGTGCAGTGCACTGCACGCGTGTGGAGTGTGGCGTGTTAGGTTTCCTCAGCTGTGTCTGGCAGGGGAAGCGTCCTGTTCATCCCGTGTGCTGGCCCAAGACAGGTTCGCAAGGGCAGTTCTGAACTCTTTCCATTCAAATGGGTTCAACTTCTTACCTTTAACTTCTGGGTATGACAGTCCAGAAACCCAGGCCTCTGTCTGCAAATGCGTCCATTCAAGTGTCCTCCAGACTCACTCCTTTCTTTCTCTGCCTTTCACCCTCTTTCTTCCCACTCTCTGTTTCTGACAAATAACCCCGACTCCCACCATTACCCAGGTTCCCCTCACACACTTATCTCCCCCTTTAAATCTGTCCTTGTGTTTAGATGTGTACTTCCCAAAGGAATTTCCGCTCGGGGCTCATCCTGGTCCTGGGCAGACCCGTCCTCACAGGTCAGCACACCCTCTTCCAGGACGTCGGCGGCCCTCCACGTGGTCACACGGAGGCTCCCAGACATGCCACGTGACAAAGGCCTCCCCAGCACGTGAAGCCTTTGTTGCTAACAAGCCTGCCAGTGATGGGCCCTTCATTTTTCATTTGAGGAAACTGAGGCACAAAGAGGAAAAGTCTCTTGCCCAGGTTTCCATGGGATACATTTATATGCAGGCCATCTAAGGCTGGACAATCTTCTAATTGTCCATTAGAAGAATGGACAATTAAGCAGCTCACTGCTCTTTAAGGCACGGTCACCAGCTGCTGGTTAGAGTCCCCGAGGAATAAGTACAGAAAATGACAGTAAGCATTTAGAAACACAGCAACTTGATGGTAGTGTTTGCCTATTGTTTTTAAAATTGCATTTTGTGTGAAAAGCTCTGATCTGGCCAACATATTCCTGCTATGTTGCAAATATAAACTGCATTTAGTTTATATTTCCCCCAAAATGTAGGCTGTATACCACTGCTGGATAGTCTGTGCCTTAATTTTTGTTTTATTTTAATGTTTATATGTTTGTTTTTATTCATGTTCTGAAAATTATAACTAGCATATGCAGTTATAAAAGCAGTTAATTTAAAAGAAAATGTTTGCTGAAAAGTAGCATAGTAAATTGTATAGTGAATAGACTTAATGAAAAATATAAAATAAATAACAGGTAGCATGAGAAAATGATTACAATCAGGAAAGTTGTACCAGAATGATTGAAGTTCGGGAAATGCTGTTTTGTCCTGCCAACCCATTTCTAGCCACTATCCCCTGACTCAAAGCAGCATCTGAGAGAAGTAGCAGGGAACGCAGGGTTGGTGGCCCTCACAGGACACAGTTTAGTGGGACACTACAATTAAGGAACCTGGATTGACACACCCAAAGGCGTCAGGTGTCAACATAAATTTTGAGACAGAAGGGCGGCCATTGAGGGTTGCTGACCCAAAACCAGTAGGAGATCCAGTGTGAGCACATCACTTAACCTCTCTGGTCCTCAGGGATTTGTTCATCCTCAAAATGAAGACAGTAGGTAATTTTAAAAGCTCTTTCTAAAATGTCCAAGGTATATTGTTAAGTTATAGAAACAAGTTTCAGAGCAGTAGAGGATGATCCCATTAGTAAACACGAACTATACATGCAAAGAGCTTTTCTGGAACTGACTGCTGAGAATCTCTTAATAGGCTTGCTATTGTGGAGTGTTGGGACCACTGGAGAAGGGACATTTTACTTATTAACTTTTCCCATTGAGATACAATTGACATATAATGTTGTATAAGTTTAAGCAGTACAATGTGTTGATTTGAAACATTTATATATTATAATTAGTACCATAGCTTTAGCTAATACCTCTATCACATTGCATAATTATTTCCTTTTAAATTTTTATTTTTTAATTTTATTTTTATTTTTTAATATATTTTATTGATTATGCTATGACAGTTGACCCATTTCTTTTCTTCCCTTTATTCTCCTCCACCTGGCACTGGCCTCCACCCTCCACTACCTTAGTTCATGTCCATGGGTCATACATATAAGTTCTTTGGCTTCTCCATTTCCTATACTATTCTTAACCTCCCCCTGTCTATTTTGTACCTACCATTTATGCTTCTTGTTCCCTGTACCTTTCCCCCCTTTCTCCTCCCTCCCATTCCTGGCTGATAACCCTCCATGTGATCTACATTTCTGTGATTCTGTTCCTGTTCTAGCTGTTGGCTTGGTTTTAGTTTTCGTTTTTAGGTTCAGTTATTGATCATTGTGAGTTTGTTGTCATTTTACTGTTCATAGTTTTTGATCTTCTTTTATTTCTTAGATAAGTCCCTTTAACATTTAATATAATAAGGGCTTGGCAATGATGAACTCCTTTCACTTGACCTTATCTGGGAAGCACTTTATCTGCCCTTCCATTCTAAGTGACAGCTTTGCTGGATAGAGCAATCTTGCATATAGGTCCTTGCCTTTCATGACTTGGAATACTTCTTTCCAGCCCCTTCTTGCCTGCAAGGTTTCTTTTGAGAAATCAGCTGATAGTCTGATGGGAACTCCTTTGTAGGTAACTGCCTCCTTTTCTGTTGCTACTTTTAAGATTCTCTCCTTCTCTTTAATCTTGGGTAATGTAATTATGATGTGCCTAGGTACCTGCTTCCTTGGGTCCGACTTCTTTGGGACTCTCAGAGCTTCCTGGACTTCCTGAAAATCTATTTCCTTTGCCATGTTAGGGAAGTTCTCCATTATTTTTTCAAATAAGTTTTCAATTTCTTGCTCTTCCTCTTCTCCTTCTAACACCCCTATGATTTGGCTGTTGAAACATTTAAAGTTGTCCTAGAGGTTCCTCAGCCTCTCCTCATTTTTTTTTGAATTCTTGTTTCTTCAATCTGTTCTGGCTAAATGTTTATTTCTTCCTTTTGGTCCAAATCGTTGATTTGAGTCCCAGGAAGGAATTCCTGTCACTGTTGGTTCCCTGTACATTTTCCTTTATTTCACTCTGCATAGCCTTCACTTCTTCCTCTACTTTATGACCATACTCAACCATTTCTGTGAGCATCCTGACTACCAGAGTTTTGAACTCTGCATCTAATAGGTTGGCTATCTCTTCATCACTTAGTTGTATTTTTGGAGCTTTGATCTACTCTTTCATTCAGGCCATATTTCTTTGTCTGGTTGTACCTGTTACATAGTAAGGGGCAGAGCCTTAGGTATTCACCAGGGCAGGGCAATGCGCATCACCACATTGTGGTGCTGTGTGTTGGGGAGGGGTCCGAGAGGGAACAATGTTACTTGCTCAGCTCTCTAGGCTGGCTTTCAGTCACTTCCCCTGCTACCCACAAGCTAATTGGGCCCTTCTGGTGCTGATTTCTGGGTAGGTGGGTTTGTGTATGTTCTAGGGTCTCTCCAACCAACTCTCATGTGAGGCTGAGAGTTTCTCCTACTGCTGCAATCCCCACAGATTTTTACAGTTAGGGGTTTATTTCCCCATGCTGGAACCCTGGGTTGCACTCTCTGTCTCACTCCCCAGTTGTTTCTCCCAGTCCTCCAGCTTCTGCCTCACCGTGAGTCCTCTCCACCCCAGCGGCCTGTCTCTGCCCCTCCTACCAGTCTTGATGAATATTTCTTCTTTAACTCCTTGGTTGTTGGACTTCCGTACACTTCAATTTTCTGGCAATTGTTTATTGTTTTTCAATTTGTTGTTGTCCTTCTTTTAGTTGTGTGAGGAGGCAAAGTATATCTACCTAGGCCTCCATCTTGGCCAGAAGTACATAATTATTTCTTTTGGCTAGAACATTTAAGATTTGTTCTCTTAGCCAGATGATAACGCAACATTGTTGACTGTAATTACTGTTCTGTGCATTAGATCTCCAGAACTTCATCTTCCAGGTGCAAGTCAGTACCCTTTAACGATATCTCCCCATTCGAGGAAGGGGCATTTTAGGTCCCACATTTACCCTTCCAACAGATTATAGGGACAGCTCTGGAGTCAGACTGCCAGGGCTTAAATCCTAGACCCTGCTCTTACTAGCTGGGTGACTGGGGCAAATGATCTAACCTGTGCCTTAGTTTCCTTGGTTCTAAAATGAAAATAATGATTCACAGGGTTGATGGGGACTAAATGAGTTAATACATGTGAAGTGCTAAAACAGTGCCTGACATTGTAAAAAGTTATATACATGTTAAGAGTTATTACCATGGACAAGTAATACTTTATAACTTAAGACCCTTGTAGCTTAACACATAGAGATTCTATGTAGCCCACAGAAGGGTTTTTCCTAGCTCTCCCTCTGCCTCTAACTGCCTCTAACTACAGTGAATAGCAGGGTGAGGTATCGAGTTAAACTTCCCTGGTTTACCTCCGGTGACCCTCACTGGCACCTCCAAAATCAGACCCTTTCTAAAGGGCTGGGGCCAGACTGCAAGGGTTCCCAGGTCTGCCAGAGGACTCCTCCTGGGACCAGGCCAGGCCAAACCAGTTTCCAAGTGTGACTGACCACGCCAGCTTCCAAATTCATATGCTGGGCTTTTTGAGTGTATGTCCCCACACCCTACAATAATCCTGAAGAAACAAGAACCCAATTCCATAGTAGGGATCTTTCCCAGGAATTCCAAAAACATAGAAAACACTCAAATATTTTAAAGCAGCATTTTGTTGGCTCTGCAATCTCTGTGAGCTAAGCTTTCAAAGAAACACCTTAGGCCAAAGGGACGTGAGCCAGGGTTTGGGGCGGTGGACATGTTAGAGGTCTTGCTCAGTGGTGCCTGCATGGTTGTCTGTGTTTGTCAAAACTCCTAGGACTGTATACACTGAGAGGGTGATTTTACTATTGCAAATTATACCTCAAGTCTCCCTTAAATTAAAAAGAAACAAAAAATCTTTAGCATTGTAAACAGAGGGAATTATTTTTCTCAAACAGTAGATTAAAAAAAATAATACAGTGTGCTAGAGAGAATTTTCTCCTCGCAGCAGGTTAGTTCTAAAAGGTAAGAAAGAGAAGCTGCTCTTCAGGACACATTTGGAGAATGAGGCCTCGTAGTATCCTGCAGAATCTTCTCAGACTTAAAATTCCCTTTTCGTTTCTAGCCATCCAGCCCTGGCGTTGCTGGTTACAGCCAGACAATGGTCTGAATCTTCAGAGACTTTGAATGGGAACTGACTCTTCCTGCATTAAAAATAAATGCAGTTTGCTTCCGCATCTATTCCCAAATGTCCGGGTCTTTAAAAGAATGACAGCAGGTCTAAAACTTGTGGAGAGTTTACAACCTGTCACCAACAACCTGAATAACTAGCTTCAGTACTCTAGCTGTCCCCGCTGAGTCTTGCAGTGCGTGATTTTCATTCAGGAGATGAATATGAGTTTGCATGGTTTCCTTTCAGGCCAATACAGAAAAGCCTTCCTTGAATAAGTCAGAGCAGGCTGGGAGAAACGCTCTTCTCTCCGACATCAACAAAGGGAAGAAACTAAAAAAGACAGTCACCAATGACAGAAGTGCACCGATATTGGACAGTAAGTGAAAAAAGTTATTTTCCATGGAGATAAATGGTGTATGGCCTAACAATCCACCCTACCCTTTTTTTTTTAAGTCAACAACAGCTGCAAAGCTAGCAGAATAAGGGACTGTCTCACTCATTGTAGGCCAAGGCTTCGGCTTGGGTTCCCTCTAATGCTGCAGCAAGCCAGTATAATAATTCTTTGTCTAAGTCACACACAGCAGCGATTCTCTAAATGATTGAAACACTTTCTGGAAATTAACCCTTTGCTCCTTGCACCACAGATCATAAAACAGCATGAAATAGGGAAAGAGCCCTAGACTTGGAATCAAAGGATGTGGGTTCAAGTCCTGGCACATCCATCATTTATCATCTCCAAACCTATTGTCCTCATTTATTAAATGGAGATAATACTATTCTTCTATCCCCACAAGTTCATTGTTAACATCAAATGAGACAATGCTTATAAAGTGTTTTGTTGTCTGCAAAGTGAAATTCAAGTGTAAGACATGATTATTAGAAGCTTATAGAAAGAGGAATTGAGATCACAACTTCACTTATCTACCCATGATAAGTCTGAGACACTCTCTGGAGCAAGGCAGGGCGTGTATTAACAAACAATTACCCACCACACAGGGTTACTCATTAACATTTAAAACAGAATGAAAAGTTATATGTGACTAGAGTCTACTGACAGTAATGAGGCCTCGAGACTCTCCTCACATCCCTAGATGTTCCCACTGTAGCCAGATGTCCCCAGAATTTGTCCTGGACCACAGGTCCCATTTGGACTCAATGGGAAATAGACAAGTGAATAATGATGTAAAATTATAGCCAAGTGGAGGATAAGAGGGGCTTAGGAGGAATTTCTAGGAAAAGGGCCCAATAAGAGGGGAAAGATCAGAGTTAGGTGAGAACACTGGTGTGGGGGTAGCTGGAAAAGAGGAAGACCAAGACAAAGGCCTTTGAATGTTGTTCTGTCAGCGGGCAATGTGGTGCAAATGAGAACACACCACACCTCAAAAAGGAACTATGGGGTCTTTGACTCTTGACACAGTTTTACCTTTAGATCAAAACTGATGTGGTTAATGTATAATCACTGTCTTGGTCCTCCTGATTCATGTCACAAGACTCTCCCAAGGGGAATCCCAGCACAGTCACTTATATAAGGGGAGCCTTGGTCCAACAACTCCCAAGTCATGATGTCTGGTATGGGGCCAGGGGAGCCCCGCTAGTAGCCAGCCTCTGGGGCAGAGCCCAGCGGTTCTCTCCACATGAGCCGGAGCTAGGCTCCGGGGAGGGGGGTGTGAGTTCCCCAGATGGTAAAGGAGACTGGACAGTCTGGGGCCCAGTCCTGAATCCACTAGTGGAAACTCATATTCTTCAAGAATATGACTTCTTCAAGATCCACTTCTCCCATTAAATGGGAATAAATGTTATTTCTTCTCTCTTCCAACTACTCACTTTGCATAGTGAACACAAAATGCAACCCAGTGCATGCCCTTGTTATCAATGCAATTAATGGGACAGCAAGACTGCTGTCACAAGCTCTTTGCCAGTGACAAAGTCCATCTATGGTTTTGTATTTGTTCACAGGTGAAACCTCCCTGGGCTCATTATGAAAATGTCAACCACAGTTATGCATGACATAACACTTAAAGTCAGCCTTGTCCTGCAGTTTGATGACTCGTGACCAGTGTCAGTTAGCGGTCTTTAACTGCTTTAGCTTCTCTACTGAGAGATCCACTCATGGATGCTGTCTGATCGTGCATGGATTGCTCTGAATGTTTAGTACCATTTAAAGGTGTCCTATGGAAATGCAACATTGCAAGATGTATCATTCATTAACGAATAATTACTGACAATAGTTAAAATCGGTAAAAATTCCAAATTTCTTCTATCAGCAGAGCTCCCATAAGTATCCCCAAAGCTCTGTACCTAGAAAAGATACAGAGCTAACAAAGGCATGATAAATCTAATCCAGAAAAAAGAAAACACAAATGAATAAAATTAGAACTCAAGAAGTAGATAAACTAAGAGATTTAAAGCAGATTTTTTAAAATTAAGGATGCTACAATGAAGTTATATGCAAAATGATTTTGAAATCTTAAATTAATTTTCTAAGAAAAGCATAAATTTACCAATATTCCCTTATGAAGCCTCAATGAGCAAGGAAAAAGCTGTAACCTTTATTGTATTACTTTCCCTCCTAAAACCTTAGAGCTGGATGATTTTATCAGTGAATTCTTTCAGATTATAAGAAACAGCTAATTCAAGCCCTGGCTGGTGTAGCTCAGTGGATTGAGCGTGGGCTGCGAACCAAAGTGTTGCAGGTTCGATTCCCAGTCAGGGCACATGCCTGGGTTGCAAGCCATGACCCCCAGCAACCGCACACTGATGTTTCTCTCTCTATCTCCCTCCCTTCCCTCTCTAAAAATAAATAAATAAAATCTTAAAAAAAAAAAGAAACAGCTAATTCAAAAGCCGTATGAATTCCCAAACACAGGAAGAGACCAGAAACTACCTGTATAATCCTATTGTCACAGTGCGACGATGGCAGCACAGGAGCAGGAAGAAAGCTTATATATCAGTGTGTCAGGGGGCCTGCGGCGACATCGGGAGGCTCTTTTAGTTGTCATAAGTGGTGAGCTGTGCGTTCCCACTGACATTATTGGGTGGAGGTCAGGGATGCTGTCAACGTTCTACAGAGAACAAGACCGCCACCCACAAGAAGGATTTACCTGACCCAAATATCAGTTGCTCCAAGGGTAAGAAACCCTACTATAGATGAACCACTTAGGATCATAGATGAGAGGGTACTAACTAAAAAATAAAATCAAGAAATCTAATTCAATATGCATATTAAAAAATAATTCACCAAAACCAAAGTTTATATCATTTTTAATGTTAGAAAGTCTATAAATTCATAGCAAATAAGGAAAACCATATAACTTAGAAACAGTAGAGGCAGTCTCATTAAAATCAAAATGTTTTCCTTTAGCAACATTAATAATTTACATTATTATAGAAGTTATAACTTATATAAAACAGAAATAAGACACAACTATTTAAAAAGAGGAGGAAGAACCTTTATTATTTGAAAATCATATGTTTACTAGAAAATTCAAGATAATTTTTTTGTAAATTTCAAGTTAAAAAGATAGCAAAGTGTTTTATTAGATAGCAAATGAAATTTCCTGGTGCCAATAATAATAACCAATAACAAAATTTAATAGAAAAAACATTCCTTTCACAATTTTAAAAAACAAAAATGTGTTCAAAGTAACCCTAACAAAAGGCCTGTGTGACCCGTATCAAACAAATTACAGAGCTTTCCTTAGTAGATCAGAAGGCATGGAAAGTAAGCCATGTTTCCAGAAAGTGTGATTATTATAAAGTGTCAGGTCTCCCGGATTAATCTGTAGATCTCAGGTAACACCCATCAAAGACCCAGGGGCAGAGCTTTATAAACAGTGCTTCACCTCAGAAAACGCACATACATGAGACAATTTTTTAAAGAGGACATTATCATGGCTCTCATACAGATATAAAATGAACATATATCAAAGATTTTATTTTGCTTATTAATTAATGAAAAATGATGTTATCAGCATGATGTTTTCAGTTGCAAAGAGAATTCAAAGTACCACACATGCATAGGCAGGCAGCTAAGTGCTGGAGCGAATTTACAAATAGGCACAAATGGGTCCGTATCAGTTGCATTCCACTGAACACAACCAATTTGCATTTCTGTGACAAATACTATTTGTATTATTATCATTTTTCTAAAATTTACAGAGCAGTAAAATAGCTCAAAGGCAATGGGAAATAATACAGAAAGCTAGAATTAATCACCTTTATCTTTGTTCTTCCTTTCTTTGCCCATTTCAAAAGCTTTCACAATATTTTTGAAATAAATGCAAAATAAAACAAAATCTTTGCACTGTCTCAAATTGCAAAAAAAATTTTAAATGTGAAAGCCTACCATTGGGCTTAATGATATTAAAAAGTTAAAAGCAACCTAAAAGACCATCAAATAAGTAGATGGTTAAATAAATTACAATACATTCATGTTCTAAAACACTATGCAGTCCTTTAAACTTGTATTTTAAAGAATATTTAATGGCATGGGAAATACTAACAATAAAGTGTTAAATGAAAAAAAGCAGGCTAGAAACTATCCAGTGAATTTTAGTCTTAATTTTAAGAAAAAATATATGAAAATGAAAAGACACTGGCAAGGAAAAAATACACTAAAAGAGTGGTTATTTCCAAGGAGTAAAATTATGAGATATTTTATTTTTTTAATTGTTACTATTTTCTTTCTTCTCACCTTTTACCACATCTTCTCCCTTGAGACTTTCTTTGAAGATCCTTACATTCAGCGAACTGGTACTAACTCACACGGCAGGCAGCCGAGTGGGGGTGTAGCAGCAGGTCACCACCTGTCCTCGCTGTTCCCACCACTGGGCCAACGGCTGCCCTGGAGAGGAAAGAGTCCCCTCCTTTCCAGTTAGGGTGGGTGAATCCTTACTATCCTGCCTGTTAATGAAATTCTAGTTGTCTCCCATGGGTCCAGGTTGCATCATGGTTCTTTACTTGGGCCAGAACTGGTGAAGTGCTCTTTCAGAGTGTTCAAACCTGTGTAAAGACTGTTTTCTTCCTCTGCAGAACCTAAAGGATCTGGTGGTGGTGGTGGCGGTGGTGGCTTCGGTGGAGGCGGCGGATATGGCGGAGGAGGTGGCAGTGGAAGTGGTGGTGGCGGTGGTGGTGGTGGCTTTGGAGGAGGTGGGCCACCCGGTTTGGGAGGACTGTTCCAGGCTGGAATGCCAAAGCTGAGATCCACAGCCAACAGGGACAATGGTAAGGAGGGTCCCCTTCTCTCTCAGTTACTGGAGACTAGGGTGCGGTGATTCAGAGGCTTGGCATCTGTCTTAGACACTGTGCCCTTTAAAACATTTTAGAATGCTCAAAATTGTTAACATTTTTGTAAGAGAGACTCTATGTAGCATCTTTTAAAAGTTAAATCAGTACCTGACAGCTCCATTGGGCTGTTATATATTTGTCCATTGTCCTTGGGGTAACTTGTACTTTTTTGTACTTTTCTAACGGGTGAGCTGGAGTGGGAAGGAAAGAAGGGAACAAATGGAACTTGCCACCCCTGGAAACTCTGCCTGGTGACCTAGCAAATCCAGCTTCCCTTGTGAGGTAGCCTGACCACACTGTCGAGTGTAGTACACACTTGTGAGCCACTTTTCACACACTGTGGAGCATGTCACGTGGAATAGAATCACCTATCTCGCTAAATCTAAAAAGGCGTTTTCTATGACAGACATCCAGCATATCAGGGCCCATGATCCTAAGTCTTCTCTGCAGGGAGCCCAGGAAATGAGTCCCACCGGACTGCCTGGGAGCCTGACAGCAGAGGGGAAAGTTGGACCTGGTCCTGCCTAAATAAAAACCTTACAGAGGGCGTGAGGTGCTCTCCAGACTATCGCAGAAGCTCGTGAAATTGTACCATGGAACTTTCTTTTTTTCATGGTTATTGTTATAAGGATTTAATTTCTAATTCTGTGATCTTTTTAGATGTTCACTGGGAAAAGTATGAAATTCTCACATCGATACCAAGATAAAGGCACTGAATCCTCAGGGTTAGCTGACTGTTTTAGCATTGGATGGTCAAAATCTAGAAAGAGACTCAATAATATGAGAGATTCTATCTTGCTAGACCTGCATTTAAATTTTAAGTCATTTATTTAAAACCCACCCAAAGGATTTGAGGTAATTGACAAATGCATGCATTTAGTACTTTAACAAAAAGTGAAGAAATCAAGGCAAAAGACAACTGGAAATAAAATAATAAAATGAAGATGGAATTCAAATTGGTGCATAAAATGGTATACCAGAAGTACATGTGTTCATTGTGTACTACCCACGTAATAGAGCCTATCCATGTAATGTAGTAACTGCAGTTTTAATCTGAACTTGGAAAATATAACTTATTACAAGTTGGGGTCATAGAAATATACCACACAGCCGAGGACAATATATCTTTTTTCTAGTACTCAAGTCAAAAAAAAAAATTTTCTGGAGTTCAGTTCACATTACTCCAATGTATAAAATTATCTGTGTCTGTCAGTGTGCCTTGGATAAACCTGAACTCCTCTGGCCTGCAAGGCTCTTTGTGGGCAGGCCCCGCAGGTGGCCGCTGAGGGATGGCCACCCGGGCTCTACTGCCAGGATTCCTGTGCTTGTCTGCCCCTGGCACACAGGCCCCGGAGTCTGGCTTTTCCTCTGAAGCTCATTCCATGTCAGGGCCTTTGCACCTGCTGGTCCGTTGCCTAGAGTGTTGTTTACTTTGCGGGTCAATCCCATCCACTGGCACTGACTATTAATTAAATTTTGACAGTTTTTTTTTTCTGTTTCTTAGTTCCCTCTTATTGCAGTCATTACTCTCCCATTATACTTTTGCACCTTCTTTTGAGAATTTCTCTTTGATAAGACTAGGTAACCCCTCCTATATGAAGATTTATACTGGGACAACTAATCTCTTCACCTTAAATGGCTGTTAGTTTTGTAGGCCTAAGAGGTACCGGGGCAAGGGATGGTGATCTATTCCTCTTCCTCCAGGAAAGACCGCACAAAACCTGATTTAAATAAATAATAGTTGCCTGTATTTATAGCATCTAGGAAAGGATTTGCAGTAGCTGGAAAGGTATTCTAAACTGGTTTCTTTTAAGATTCCTAATTTTTTAACTGAATTTTCCCCCCTGTTCTTCAGATTCTGGAGGAAGCCGACCCCCGGTTTTGCCACCGGGAGGAAGAGCCACATCTACCAAACCCTTCTCGCCCCCAAGTGGCCCGGGGAGGTTCCCTGTGCCTTCTCCAGGCCAGCGAAGCGGACCGCCCGAGCCCCAGAGGAACCGAATGCCTCCCCCGAGGCCTGACGTGGGCTCGAAGCCTGATAGCATGCCCCCTCCAGTACCTAACACGCCAAGACCCATTCAATCAAGTCTGCACAACCGGGGGTCCCCACCGGTGCCTGGTGCCCCCAGGCAGCCTGGCCCCGGGCCGACTCCCCCCCCTTTCCCCGGAAACCGAGGTGCTGCTTTTGGAGGAGGCTCCATCCGTCAGAGCCCCTCAGCCTCATCCGCCAACAGGCCTCCCCTGCCGCCTACCCCGGGCAGGGCCTTGGATGACAAGCCCCCGCCACCCCCTCCCCCGATGGGCAACAGGCCCTCCATCCACAGGGAAGCCGGCCCACCTCCGCCCCCCCAGAACAGCAAGCCCCCGGTGCCTTCCACTCCGCGGCCTTCCTCCTTGTCACAGGCCCCACCTCCGCCGCCGCCCCCCAGCAGGCCTGGCGCTCCCCCCCTGCCTCCAGGTTCCAGTGGCAGTGACGAGATCCCAAGGCTCCCGCAGCGGCATTTGTCCCTCTCCTCGTCTGCACCTCCCTTACCTTCACCTGGACGTTCGGGCCCTCTTCCTCCCCCGCCCAGTGAGAGGCCCCCTCCTCCAGTGAGGGACCCACCGGGCAGATCAGGTATGGCAAGACATGGGCCGGGTTGTCTCCCTGAAACCCCGCCTGCACACGTGTCACTAATGGTCCTACACAAAGTCCAACAGGAAGCTTAAGGGACCCCTCAAACTGCTTTCATCTGTTACGGGACACCTACCACTGCGTGATTTCATCCTGACCTCATGTAAAAGGTCTGTGATTCAGAGATGAGGAGACCGAGTGACCGATAAAGTTCAGTGGTCACAACAGGCCTCCCCTGCCGCCTACTACTACTAGTTAACTTAACTAGTTAAGAGAAGAGGCTAGAATTTTCATCATCCATCTCACCAGTTTACAATTCTGCCCCCTAAAGTGATTTTAGATGTCTCGATTAGGGAACTAATTCCCATCTCCTATACAAGGGCCCCATTATTTCAACAAGAAGGGCAGTTATTTCAGAGTTAATGAGCCCCTCCTGCACTTCTCTCTCTCCACCGGCCCAGCTTTCAGGCCACTTCCCTGCTTATTAAAGACAATGTTAGCCCCCCTTTGCTGTTTGTTGACATCTCTGACACAGAGACCCCTCAGAGAACCAGATAAAGGTGTCGGCCTTCGCCTCACAGAAACGCTCGCGAGTGTAAACTGGAACTCTGCGCGCTGTCTCCTACATCGGAGGACCTGCTGAGGCACCTCTGTGGCCCCTGCCCAGGGCTGAGAAACCTGGATGAGGGAATAATTACTTTCAAAATATGAAATGAACTGTGCAGGTTCCCCAGGGTTTGTACTTTATTATAATAAATTATTGATGGTTATTGATGGAGTCAGAGAAACTAAACTACTTTGAAATTTTAACCTTATGCATACAAGATGTTTGGAAATGGGGTATTTTTTTTTCTCCTGGTGAAGTTAACTGACCTTTGACCCTGTGACCTCAGGAACCTAACAGATACCATTCTTTAAACCAGTAGTCCTCAAATTTGACCTCATACTGGAATCACTGGGGTGCTTTAAAAACTACAATGGGCCCTTCCCCAGGGTTTCTGGTTTCGTTGCTCTGGATTTTAGATGGGACATCGGGACAGCGGGATTGTAATGTCCCAGTGACTGTAATGTGCAGAAACGTTTGAAAAGCACTCCCTCAAGCTGTCCTGCCATGGAGAGCGGGCCACAAATGCAGAAAGTCACTAAGCCCTTCAGTCCCGTCCCTAGATGTGCACCGTCTCATCGAATGTTCTTCAGTGAGTTAGCAAGAACAAGCAGTCAGACGAATGAGACGCAGTGTTTTCTTTCTGTACAAAAGCTATGGATTTTCCCTAGAGTGGCTGTGGAGCTGCTTGCGTGGCTCTACCAAATAGGTGAGTCAACAGATTAATAAATCTGCCTTAAAATAGGGTAGACAGTGACATAATTATAACATTTATTGTTCCTTTTCATTATATGTCATAACTGTTTATTATAGAATAAGGAAGTACAGAAAAGTAGGAAGAAAAAATATCATCTATAATCCTGCCACTAGAACCATCCAGAAATGATCATTGATAACATCCTTGTATATTCTTTCAGGCTTTTAAAAATGTACACATATATATATGTGTGTGTGTGTATATATATGTATATATATATATGTTTACAAAATTAGTATCACGCTACAAATATTGGTTGGCAATTTGATTCCTATTTAACAATATCTTCTTAACATTTTCTGATATGACACAACCTGACTTTTAATGACTGCATAATATTAACTCCTCCAAAATACCTTGGTTCCTTAATTCCTCACTTGGTCATATAAGATATCTCCAGATTTTTGCTATTGCTGATAATGCAGGAATACGTTCTTATAGTCAAATATTTATGCACATCTCTATGTATTTCCTCCAGGTGAATGCCTAGAAATGGAATTTCTAGGTAATGATTATGCACAGTAAACCATGGATTTATAGGTACTGCCAAATTGGCCTCTAGAAAATTCCTAGCAGTTTACATCCCCACAAGGAACACATGACAGGTCACCTAGGGCCACCTGGATTTTGAGAGATGGCTCAGCTTCATTGTTGGGAGAATGGGCTTTCAAATTTGACAGATTTGTAGTCAAATCCTGGTTCTTCCTCTCATTAGCTTCCTGACTGATCTTTTTAACTTTCCAACACCCCCGGGGCTTCTGCTGTCTCCACACCTCTCAGAGCTGTTGTAAAAATCAAATGAGGTGAGGATGTGTAGTGATTGTCTTATTTCCCAACATCAATGACCACTTTTATTATTAGGCTGCCATTGGGAAATAGAAATGTGTTCTATTATGCTTGCCCAGGTTTGGAGCACGGGGCTGGAAGGTTGGAGAAGAAGGAACATGAACAGTCATTTAAAGAGAGAAAGATCAAGTCGATCAAGTTGTGTAGTACCAGACCCAATAACAGTGGAGGTCTCATTGACATTGGGTGACAGTTATATGGTGGGAGTACCAGTGAGAGACACTCCTCTCCATAATAAATCTACTCCTGACTGGGACTCCAGCCGTGACAGGCAGATAGGACAATAAGGAAACCCCACCAAGTGTCCGAGCCAAGACTTCCAGGCCCGGCTATCTGTGATGTGCAAGTCATTCCTTTAAGGTCCTCTGATTGGATTCTGAATCTGCAGTTAACAAGAGGTTATAGTTATAGCAGTTCAAGACATTGTGTTACATAAAATGGCAGCCTCTGGCAAGTGGAGTACACTGCCGAACGAAGATCAGGAATAATTACTAAGTCCATTTTGGTTTCCATGAAAAAATGCTTAAGTTCCTCTTTCTTCCTTTCTTTTTTTTAAATTTACTCGTGACCCAAATAGCCTCTGCATTTGGAGAATGAAGAAAGCAAGATAGGTCCCTGTGTATTATCAAAAAGAATTTACTTTGAATTATTTTCTAGGAACCTAAACATTTCTGATTATACCACACTACTGCATTTTTTTAAGAAGTGGTTTCAAATACTTATGTAACCCTTTTTATTTGCCTTTGACTAAATATTCCTGGCAGTAGTGCAGTGGGAAAGGTGACTATTCGGTGCTCTCTGTAGATAGGAAGCCAAGCTCCACAGGGTAAGCGGCCCGCTCAGGGTCAGGATCCTGCATCGGCATTTATAACCGTGCACCTTGATGAGCTATTGTCGCTCCCTGTGTTAGTCTGCCTCCCAAAAGAGGAAGAGCCAAGAAGGAACTTCTGCTGTTCTCGGGATGATTAACAGTTTCCTGACCCTGCTTCTGCCTGGAAACAGATTGTGCGCTTCACAGAAACATGCCTGCAGAACTCGCAATAATGCTGTGAATTTAAAGAACTTAATTCCTCTGAAGATCTAAAATAACTTAATAACTATCTACTTTTAAAAATTCTTTTATGAAACAACATTTAATAAGTATGCCATAGTAATTAGTCCAACAGCTGTTTAAAAGGATATGAAAATGTGTTTTAAGTATGTAATAGGTTGTCAGTATGAACAGATTATCACCTGCTCTCAACTTAACTGTAACATCTCCAATCTCAATACTAACTCAAAGCCAACACAGCCATTCAGCTCCAACATGCACCCATTTCACATCTGTGTATACATATGAGCATTTCTGAGTTTGCATGTGTCTACTCCTTGTCTGAATCTCCTAGGAAGTCTCCATGATTTCTCCACCTTCTCTAGTAGAAGGGCATGTATCCACCAGGCACTCAATAATTGCATGTTGGGGATGGCCATGGTAAGGTATTGCCCTTAATTGTTGTCTTTTCTGTTGCTCTAGGCCCTCTCCCACCACCTCCTCCGATAAACAGAAATGGCAGCACATCTCGGGCCCTGCCTGCCACCCCGCAGTTGCCGTCCAGAGGAGGTGTGGACAGTCCCAGGGGTGGGCCTCGGCCTCCCCTTCCTCCAGACAGGCCTGGTGCTGGGGCCCCTCCTCCACCTCCACCATCAGCATCAATTAGAAACGGCTTCCAAGACTCTTCATGTGAAGGTGAGGTGTGGTCCCAGCTTCTTGGAACACACAAGCTATTGAGCAGCAGCTGAGTGAGAAATTTGTATGCGTTTGTTAGTGTGTTTGCATTTCTTCTTTGCAAGACCCTCATCGTTATCACGCTGCTCTGCTCCGACTATCTAACCCAGTGACTTTCAACATTTTTCATATCGTGGCACAAATCAACTAATTGCTAAAATTCTGCAGCACACCAAAACACATATACTTTGGGCCGATCTGATAAAAAAATTAGGTTTAATTTTGATTCATTCACACTAGATGGCTATTGTTGTGTTATTTTTTATTTGACAGCCTAAGGGAAAAAAGGTCAGTGCCCCTGATTAAATAGTCAGGTATTGCACATTTTAAAAATTCTTGCAGCATACCAGTTGAAAATCACTGGTATAACCATTTTAGGGCTCACCGTGATTTCAAATTAAAAATAGTAATGCCCCCGTCTCCACTTTTCAAAAAGGCAGATTTTGTTTCTCTGTTCCTTGTTTGAGTCTCATTTTGGTTAACTTTCTAGAGATGCCAGAATTCTAAAAAGAAACATTTTTATAGCTTACCTTATTATCTACCTTTCTAAACAGTTTGCTGTAGGGAAGAGGCACAACAGCCTGCAGATATTAAGCAGCTTATCTCTGCCTCCGTATCAGAGGGCCCCAGGGATTCCTCCCACTAGTGGGAGAAATGATTAAGGAAGGTGTCCCATGCCTTAGCCCCCAGCTCCTGAGAGGGACTGGCTGGGTCCTAGTCACTCGAATCAAAATCACTCGGATCTGGCTTTGGTTTGATTGGAAGACCAGTAGATGTGATTGATGTGCAATCTCAGTGACACCTCTGCACTTCCCACTGTCTTCTAAACTTCTAGACATAAAACTAGAAGTGATCTCTTCTGTTCTATTTCATGATATGCCTTTCATTCCATCTGTTCCTAGTAGATTGTCGATTACTGAAGATACTGTTTGTCTCTCCCTCAGATGAGTGGGAAAGCAGATTCTACTTCCATCCAATTTCTGATTTGCCACCTCCAGATCCATATGTGCCAACAACCAAAACATATCCCAGTAAACTGGCAAGAAATGAAAGCCGGAGTGAGTATTTCTGCAAGGACTTTTGGTGGATTCCCACTTGAATAGCCTGGGTTATATACAGCTGAGGGGTGCATGGGAATCCAGGCTCTTGCCTGGAGCAGGGAGACCAGAGAAGTCACTTCTGGATTGGAAGCCATCTAAATTCTGGTAAACTCCCCTTCTGCAGCCAGTGAAGAAAGCAGAGGTAACCAGAATGAGAAAAGATCATTTTCATGTGTCATTACTAGCCCAAAATACTGTCGGGTTGCTAGTGAATGAAATTGTATCATTTTGCTTGTTTAGAGAACCGTCCCCCATTCTCATCTTCCTGAGATGGCCCAAATAGAACCATCTTCTTTCTATTCCTATTAGCTTTGAGACTGGCAAATGTCTTATTTAATCATAACAAAAACTGACTGTAACTGCCCTTGATCTTTTAAATATATCATAATCATAGCTTTATAGAGCATCACACAACATTTTCAGTGAACCCATAATCTCTCCACATAACAGATATTTTCATTTTATACGTTCTTGTCTAGTTTTTATCCAGTGAATTCTGATTAATTTATATGGTTATAATTATAGAGTGCAGTTTTTTGGTGGTGAAGTTTATATAACTTTGCTTAGTAAACAGTTCCCTATTTTATCATGTGGTTTTATTATACCAGTTTCCATCAAGTCAGCATTTAATAACTTAGTTTACCATTATTGGACACTTAAGTTGTTTCTGGGGTTTTTTTTCCTAATAAATATAATGCTACCATAAGAAATGAATCACTTTTCCACTATTGGAAAAGAATGTGAACAAGAAGAGGAAATGGAAAAACTAATATTTTACAACAATAAATGTATAGAACTGAGAAAGAATTATCATGAAATATACATATATCACTGATAACTTGTAAGAGCCTTAGCTTCAGAAACAAACTCCCAAAGCAGAAACATGTGGAGAAAAAACGTTCGAGCGTGTCAAACAACTGTCCCTGTGTCCCAGCCTTGTCCTTAAGCCCCAGGCAGAGCTCCGTATGCATCCTCGGAGCCTGCTGAACTTTCTCAGTCCGCAGTTCTTAATTCTCAGTTTGCTCCCAGCCTCAGAGCAGATTAGTACCCACTGAACTCGAGGCTGGTTAGAAGCAAAATTATGGACTTCAGGGAGACTTGACAGGTGGCAGAAAGAGGAGATGGGGACACGGAGCTGTGCTCTGTGTCACAGCATGGGGCAGGTCACTAAGGACAGGTCAAGTTGTGCTTTATGCCCCTGCTGAAATTTCAAAGAATTCGAAAATATTTTAGGAAAATTTCCATGAACAAATGACAGAAGTAAAGGGAATATTGTTGCTTAAAAGAAGTTTAGCCCTGGCTGGTGTGGCTCAGTGGGTTGAGCGCCGGCCTACAAACTGAAAGGTCACTGGTTCGATGCCCAGTCAGGGCACCTGCCTGGGTTGCAGGCCGGGTCCCCAGTGGGGGGTACGTGAGAGGCAACCAATGGATGTATTTCTCACACATCAATGTTTCTCTCCTTCTCTTTCTCCTGCACTTCCCCTTTGTCTAAAATAAGTTATTCGAATTTTTTTAAAACAAAGATTAATTTCTGGGAAAACTCATTTATGTGGAATAATGTATTCCTAGATGATGCCTAATAAAAAAGGTGTAACTACAGTGAAAGTTATCGCAGAGGCGGCGGTGGTGGGCTTCACATGGGACGAATACCTTTGCGTCTGTTTGTGTGCTTATGCCATAAGAGGGTCTCCTAGCTGATAGGGGTACAGCCTGTTTTTCTTTCCTTTAAGGACTCTAAATGTTTTCCTGATTTCTACTGTAAATATTATATATATGCAGGGGTGGGTAAAAGTGGGTTTACCATTCTTTGTATGGAAAATGACATGCAGGTTATGATGATTATAAGAGCTTTACTAACTAACTCAGAAGAGAGTCACAGTGGTACAATGCACTTTCTTTTGCCCACCCCGTGTGTGTGTATATATATGTATATATGTGTGTTTGTGTGTGTGTGTCAGTAATAGAACCGTATTCCTCTGCCCCTCTAGAGTTTTAATTTAATAGCTGACCACATCCCCTCCCCCATCCGCCTGTCTGTAAGACTTTGTGAAATCCGCAGGCTGGAGCTGTGTCCTGCTCACTGTTGCATCTTCCTGGAGTGTCACGGAGCCTGAAACATGGTAGACACTTAAAACTATCTGCATTAGTGAACTAGTGAATTAATTTCCACTGCCCCAAAGAACTTTTTGTAGACTTTAAAGTTCTACTTTTTGTAGAATTTTAAAGTTCTAGCAATGTATATTTTAATATTTTATACTGATAATGGATGATCCCTCTAAAAAATACATAAAGTATAAACAAATGGTTTTATTCGCTCCTGTTGCTACCCTGGCCTCCAGGCCCACAGCCCGGTAGGGCTCGCAGGCAGCCCGGAGCAGTGCTGGCCTCATGAAATCTGTGCACAGGCCAGCCCTTGTTTTGCTAGCCATTTGTGGTGTGGCAGCTGCTGGTCCAGGCCCCATGACAGGTGGCTGGTTTATATCCAGATGAGTCTTCCCTCAGATGCCCGCCCAAAAAAATATTTGGTTGAGATGGTAAGAGGAACAATGCCAGTGTGTTCCTCTGCCCCCTCTCCTTGCCCAGAGATTTAGTTCTATCTCGGAAACCCCTAAGTGGGCTACTAGGGCTGCTGTCAAGGTGCTCACTGAGGAATGTGTTGGTGCCAGCCCACCTGGGTCACAGAGCAGTGGCCATAGCAGACACACTCAGTTGACATGTGCCCCTGGTGGACATGCTTAAGCACCTGAGCACCTGTCCCTGTGCCTAACAGTCATAAGATCCTCAGAAAAGTGTGTGTGGGATAGATGAATTTCAAAAATTGTGAGTGGATTTTAAACCTGTATAGCTCACAAATAAGTATAGTTTTTAAAAGAACACTATCAAGAAAATGAAAAGGCAACCCCTGAAGTGTGATAAAATATTTGTAAATCATATAGCTGATAAAGAACTAATATGCAGAATATACAAAAAATTGCTATAGTTCAACAACAAAAAACAACCCAATTTTTAAAATGGGTTGAATACTTGAATAGACATTTCTCTGAAGATCTGCAATGATCAATAAGCACATGAAAAAATGTTCAATATTACTAATCATTAGGGAAATACAAATAAAACTACAACAAAATGCCACTTCACACCCATTAGGATGGCTACTATAAAAAAACACATTGGTTAGAAATTAGAAGATGACTAAATGCCCAAAAAAGGGGATTAGATGAATAACCTTAATATGCCTATATAATAGAATGCAGTGTGTCATTAACAATTATATATGTAAAGCATAATTACTTTGAAAGATGTTCAAAATGACTATATATGATCCAATTTTTGGAAGACAGAAAGGAACTGTTTATATAGAGAAAATATACAAATGATGTTTTTATTATCTCTGGGTAGTGCAAGCTTGGTGAATTTTTTGTTTTGTTTTCACTCTTCTATTTTTTTCTAAACCTATAACAAACACATACCATGTTTGTGATAAGAAGGAAAACAACTTTTTTTAACTTTCTTAACTTGATGCAGGTAGTCGGTAGCCAGAGGTGGGTCATCCACTAGTAATTTCGTTCAGATCCTTACGTGCTCCTCCCTTCCCATCCACACGTGCTGGTCACAGGGTGTAGGGTTGTGTATACCTTTGTGAACATCTCTGAGTTTCTACAGTGAGAACACAAGCTTTCTAACCAGAATTTATCTTTTGTCTATTTTTTTTACCAAGGTGGATCCAACCGAAGAGAAAGGGGTGCCCCACCTCTGCCGCCCCCCCTGAGGTGATCCTTGCCTGCTCTTCTCCACCCGAGCCCCACAGCAACTTCTGCTGTTGCTATCAAGAGTCGCACACCCTCCTCCCTCGTCCCTGTCATAGAAGGAGTAGGGAAGAAGGGAGGGTGACACGGGAGTATGTGTGTGAGGGGTGGAAATCTGATAAAGAAATGCACCTAGATCTTTATTCTGTGTATATTCTCAAAGCTATTGCTTGCTTCAGCTACAGCCCAACAGTGTGTACAGCTTAGGGGCCAACTGGCTTTTATGGCAAGTAGGCAGAGATGAATTGTGTTCCAGGTTTCAACCAACCAAGTACAAATTCAAACATTCACCATAAATTTGCTACAGACAATATTAAAGTCCCTGAGAGCTGCTTGCTTCCATGCCTTTTTTGCATGCTTGGCCTCCTGTCTGTTTCCATGAACCATGGGCCACCTAAGCAAGTTGCTGAGCAAGGGCTCACATGAAGTGTTTGTGGTTAGAGAGTATAATTTTTGGCAGCCTGAAGCAGGCTCCAGGACAGAGCTGTCCAAAAGAAATATAGTGTGAGCCACATATACAATTTAAATATCTCTAGTAGCCACATTAAAAAAGAAAAAGAAATAGGTGAAATTAATTTTAACATATTTTATCCAAAATACCATCTGGCCTGCAATTAAAATAGTAATTATTAATGAGGTATTTTACATTATTTTTATTTGGTACTAAGTTTCAAAATCTGGTTTTGTGTCTTACACATAAAGCACATCTCTCTTTGGACTCGTCACATTTCAAGGGCTCAGTGGCCACGTGCAGCCAGTGGCTGCCATGTTGGACAGCGCAGGTCTAGAAGACAGGATAGCGCAAAACCCCTTGTTTAAAAAACAGAAAATGAAAGATGAGCTTTAGCAATTCAAGAAGTAACTAAGAGTAAAGTTAGGACCCAACACCTTGTCTGGCAGGTAGCTTGACCTTAGATTTTGTTCCTTATTCTCTCTCTTCTTCCCTTAACGAGTATACGAGTGTTGCTTCAGAGTACCAAGATCAGAAATTGCTCTAACAGCGTTTACAGTTATGTGGAGTAAAGCCATTGGAAAGGAACGAAAGCCTGTTGGGGCTTCCAGGCTCAGCACCAGCAGCCTGGAGCTCACCCGTCAGCTGCACTTCTGCCTGGCCTCCCAGCTTGCTCCTCGGGGTGGGGCGGCTCAGTAGCAGAGGGGACAGTCAGGGAAAGGTAGCAAATCAGAAACACAGAAAAAGGGGCCAGATTTGGGTTGATGGGCGAAACTGTAAAATAAATCTGATGCGTATGGGGTTGAGAGAGATTGTTGCTGGAATTGGAGGAAATTTGAAACTGTCCGGGACAAGGAGTCGTTTGCCTTGGATCTATGCAAATGAAGCTCCCAAATGGGCCATAGGGAAGAGCCAGCCTTGCCTTTTGATGTATGATTTTGTTTACAGACTTCACTGGGACTTTTAAATCTAACTATGGAATTGGAACAAAACATTTCCATTTATATATTTTATACAGTTGATTATGTTTGAAATGACCATTACTTATTTTTTTAAAGCCACATGGCCACATATGTATGTGTATGCCTACATAAACTTTGTATCATGGTTTCAGTGCGTTGTTCATGTATTACTGGGAGATACTAACGAGAAACCAATCCAAAGAAGATTTTGAAAAAAGCATTCCTATTTATAGAAGAAATAATTGTTTCATTTATATAAAAGCAAAAGAACTTAGAGTTCTAGTAAATGGGATGTCTAATAAATTATGATATTACCCATTGAATATATTGTATTTTTATACCTTGTCTTGCCAAAGTCCTGGGCTTAGCACATTACAGATCTTGGGTTCCCCCCCTCCTCTGCCATTCATTTGTCTTTCAGAAACTTGGGGTCCTTTACCCAAAGAATCAAGAAATATAAAGGTATAACAACCTTGGCAAAGTATTTTTACAAAAAGTTCATATTTTGGTAACATAGCAGCAGCATCACTTTATTATTGGACTCTTTGATCAGATATCATTCTTTAATTGATGGTTGATTAAAACTCCTGTGAGAAAGCCTAATGACCCACCTCAGAAAAGGGGCCTTGCTGGCGAATATGGCAAAGAAAAGTGTCAGCCAAAGAAAGTGGGTTGGAGTTTTATAAGGGAGAGCAAGAATGGCCAATTTCCTCACACACCCCAACTCTGCAGGTGCCATCCTAAAGTCTGAAATGGGGCCACAACTTATAGTTGCTATTCACCCAGGATAGAGATGTTTTAGAATGTGTTTTTTAAGTGAATGTTTCATTAATACACTTATACTCTTGCTTTGAAAGTTAGAAACCTAATTGCATCCAAAACTTTAAATAAGTTCTATGCTAATATTTTTAACGATGGTAAATCACAAAAATGAATAATCTTCTTCCCTGAAATCAGAGCTTATGTGTGTTTTTTTCCATAAAACTTCCAGGTAAATGTATTCAAGATGCAATACAGTATTTTAACATTCACATATCATTTTATATGGAAATGTATTACAGTATTAAAATTCAGTGTTCAGTATTTATTTCACTGCATTTTATTTAGTAAAAGCTGGGAAGAATGTTTAATCCAATGGTGCCTTACTTTGTGATTTGAAAGAAATCCACTTTTTATGTCTAAGTAGCAGATTATTTGCATATTTGTAAAACCTGTTAGGCCTTTATATTTTAACTTGTAATACAGATTTTGTTATCTGAGTAGCAAAAATGGGATGATTATTAAAGCGCCCCAACATTTTTGGCATGAAATTAATTTTCCCTGTTTATAGTCAGGGACTGTAAAGGAGGAAAAAAATGTTTTTCATACCACTGCACTATGTAAACATGCACATTTTCCTATCTGTTTTATCAGGATAGTTTAAATGGTGGGCAAGAGTCTACTTGAGACATCTGCCTCTGTGTAGTAAGTTAGCCAGACAATAAATAAAAGCAGAACAATATGAGTGTCAACTGGTGGTTTTTATTTCAGTATTGTCTATGTAAATATGACCAGAAAAGCAAGTGTCTATTTTCTGTCTTTTACTCTGGTAAAGAAAGACATTCTCAAAGAAAAGAAGGAAGAAGGAGGTCTGTACGAGTGAATAAATAGTCATTGCATCTACTTTCTAATACCTTCTTTCTTTTTCCTAAGAACCTGTCTCTTCATCCAAATCTGTTGATGGTTTATTTGAGGCAGATGCTTCTACCCTAAGGTAAAGATGGATGGTGTAAGCAGGGAAAGATAAAATTACAAAGAGTAGTACTGACATGGATAAATTTAGGAAAGGCCAATAGGAATGAGGAGGCCTGATCATTTTTAAAATTATCACCTGTGGGGGGGGGGGGGGCCTGTGTACATATCTCAGTACAGTTAATGGCTGACAGGTTAGGAAGACCTGGCTCTGTCCTCACTTGCAAGTCACTTAACTTCCCGGAGCCTGTTTCCCCATGTAGAAAGCGGGCAATCTCGCAGCATTACTAAGTGCAGCAAATAAGATGATACACTCAGTCTGACTGCTCTAAGTGCTCGGGGAGTGGCAGCCACTGTTAGTGCTTCCCAGAACCAAACCGACTAGAGGGAGACTCGCTGGTGCACTTTCAGCGGGAAGCAGTAAGAGCAGGAAAATGTCCCTGTCGGAACTACAAAGCAACTCCAGACAGCAGTCACCTCCCATGCTGTCTTTCTGCCCCTTACACCTCCCAGGCCTGGAAAATGAAAATCCACGTTGCTTCAGTCATCAAATAAATTATTAGATTCAGTTTGAAATCATAGATATTGAGACCTGGAAAGAGCCATATATATAGGGCAGCCTTAGAATTTATCCACAGTGGGACACTTTTAAAAGTGGAAGGGGGTGCTAATAATAACTGCCTTGGTGCAACTGGTATAAATCAGGGCTGTCCTGGCAAATTGGGCCATGTGGTCACTCCACTCAGAGGTCATCTAGTCCAACTCTGTTGCCTTACAGCTGGATGACTTAAGGCCAAATCACATACTACGGGTAGACAAGCAGTATGACTTTTCTCCACACCAAACTCAGTTCTTTTCATCCCTCCCACCTCTAGCTAAAATCTGTTTCATGTGCCTTTCACATTTGCTGGAAAGAAAAGGAGAAATGACAAATTTCAGAGTCAGAATGAGCCCTGGACACACAACCCTGGACTGAATCCTGGCCCTGCCACATGCTCCCTGGGAGACTGCAGAGAAGTTATTTAAGGCCTCTGAGCTCTAGTTCTCTCAACTCCAAAATGGTTACAAAGCTTAAGTAAATATATTAAGTATTTGGCATATGTCAGGCATTCAATGGAAGTTCCATTCTATTTCCTAATTCCCTTGTCATCAGACTAGGCTGTAGTCAGGAAAAATGTTTCAATGCATTCAAAGGAGTCTGATAAAATTTAATTACAGAATTCTAAAGATTCTTAGGGAAACAAGTCTGGATGTTATTAGACAATGAGCTGAAATTTAGCTTAAGTCTTGCCTAGGACGGTGCCAGCCAGAACAACTGGACTATGTCCACCACAGACTCAAATGTGTTTCAGTAATGAGGAGCTCCCATTTTTTTCCTATTTGCTGTCTTTCTTACTAGCAAGTGAGTTAAAGATCACCTGTGGGAATGCTAGCTATTTCAGATAGGTAATCGGGAAACAGATAATTGGGAAAACCTCAAAGCTTTAAGGAGCTGATGTATTCCTTGTTTTACATCTATTCATTCAAATCATCAATACACACTTACGAAACACAATCAACAATTACAATTTAAGCATTGGAAATACAAAGATCCACATTACACAATAGGGAACTACTAGTCCTAAAACCAAGAATATGCTTAAATTGTAGATCCAAGAGGAACTTCAGCCAGTAGGCACAACCCCACTCAATCACTAATTCTGGAGTGCTCCTACTGACTGACGGGGCTCTAGGGTTGGCTGTGCGAATGAAAGGGAAAGTGCCTTAGTGCTTTCTGCTGAGACTTACTCTTGGAACAAAGGCATGGATAGGTCCCAAATGAGGCCATGAAATAAATGAAAAATATCACAGTAGCGAAAACACAAATGTATACCATCAACATTCTATCCAATGTACTTATCAGGATGGCAACTCCCATGTATTGTCTTGATTCTTCATCTAACCACCACCGATTATTAGTCACCTACTATGTACAACAGATTGCACTAAGGTTCTTGCAAGTATTATTGCATATGTTACTGTAAGTCTTTGTGACTTCACACATGCAGAAATCAAAACCTGAATGGATTAGAAATTTGACTCAAGCCACTTGCCTTGAATCGATCCAGAATTCAAACTTAAGGCTGAATAAATAAATTTGAATGGAGAGTCATAATGTTAATTTATCATTTGCCAGTTTAAAAATATATTAACATTTTGTAAAAGCAAGGACATTTTTAAAAGGTCAAAACAAGGAAAGACCTAATCTTAGAATAAAACACAGTAGGCTCAACTGAGTAAATACAGCTTCATGGAAAACTCACTGGATGTACATTGTCCCTCTTTTCCTCACTGAGCTATGGGCTGGCTCCAGGCCTGGACCAGCCGTTACTACCCCACCTGGGTGCATTGCCACTTGTAAGTGATCTAATTTCTTTCAGTTCTTCCAGTGGGGTAGTCATGATACCCACCTTGAGTTTCTTAAAGAAATGCTATGTACTTGCACTTCTCATCTCATCTCATCAGACACCTGCTGCCTTTTAAGTGATTGCAAGGACACTAAATTCAGAGGCCATTTCACAAAACACCTGCAGACTTCTGAAAGTGCCCCATCTCAGAGTCAGGCTGCAGTGTGAATAGTTAACTCGCTCTCCTGTGTATCTCCCTTCGTTATCTGTGGAGTATCTCTTCCATTCATATTATAAGTTTTTAGTATTTAATTTACTGTTGACTGTCCTGGAAGTTGGAAAAGTCATGTGGTTCTTTTAAATTCCAAATACTAGCATTCGCTTTTCCATAATGACCAGAAGTAAAGTTTGTGTTCTTTGCCTCAGTCATACAACCTAGCACTCATTCACAGGAGAAATGGAGTTAGAGCAAAATGGCACACCATATTTTAAAAAATTGAAATAAGTGGTTTTACAATTTGAAAGCATTTTCTTATGTATTACATCATTTTAACCCCTATGAAAGAGGAAGAAACTTATCGCCCATGTTACAAAAGCTGGACTCAGGCACTGAGAGATGATGACAAGATGCAAAGGTCTCACAGCTGGTGGGTAAAAGGAGCCAAAACTAAATACTCTCTGACTGTTTCAATCACACTCTTTAAATTGCGTTTTTACCCTTATTGCCTTCCTTCATTTGACAGGTATTACTGAGCACCTTCTCAATAATGAGAAGGCCCAGGGTAAGCCCAGCTGAATATACAAAGGTTAATATGCCACATAATTCCTGTATTTCAGGGAGCTTACAGTCTTTGGGGAAAGTAAGGCAGATACACAAATAACTCTAGAACTAGGCAGAATATATGTGCTATTTAAAAGCTTGCAATAGTATATTACAAGGATCCAAAACAGGTACAATTCCTATGAAACTGATTGAGCTTTCTGATTGAAAGTTTCTGATTGAAACCGTCTCACACCCATTCATTTTCCTCCTTTTCCTTTTTTGTGCATAATCACATAATTTCATTTTAATGATCATATAAAACAAAATTTTTCCATCATTTATGAAATGCTTACTGTGTGGCAGGGCCTGTGCCAGGAATTTTGTGTAGGTTTACACAAGTTACTACAAAATCTTTTTTTGTTTCTAGTCTTTTTTGAAATATATTTTATTGATTATGCTATTACAGTTTGTCTGATTTTTTCTCCCCTTTATTCCCCTCCACCCTGCATTCTCCTTCCCACCAGCATCCCCCTCTTAGTTCATGGGTCCGTGAGTCATACATAAAAGTTCTTTAGCTTCTCCATTTCCTATACTACTCTTAACCTTTCCCTGTCTATTTGGTACCTACCACTTATGCTTCTTATTCCCCGTACCTTTTCCCCCTGCCCATCCTCCCTCTCCCCACTGATAACCCTCCACGTGATCTCCATTTCTGTGATTCTGTTCCTGTTCTAGCTGTTGGCTTTGTTTGTTTTGGGTTTTTTTTTTTTTAGGTTCAGTTGTTGATAGTTGTGAGTTTGTTGTCATTTTACTATTCATATTTTTGATCATCTTCTTTTTCTTAGATAAGTCCCTTTAACATTTCATATAATAAGGGCTTGGCAATGATGAATTCCTTTCACTTGACGTTATCTGGGAAGCACTGTATCTGCCCTTCCATTCTAAATGAAAGCTTTGCTGGATAGAGTAATCTTGCATGTAGGTCCTTCCCTTTCATGACTTGGAATACTTCTTTCCAGCCCCTTCTTGCCTGTAAGATTTCTTTTGAGAAATCAGCTGATAGTCTGATGGGAACTCCTTTGTAGGTAACTGCCTCCTTTTCTGTTGCTGCTTTTAAGAGTCTCTCCTTCTCTTTAATCTTGGGTAATGTAATTATGATGTGCCTCGGTACCTGCTTCCTTAGGTCTGACTTCTTTGGGACTCTCTGAGCTTCCTGGACTTCCTGGAAGTCTATTTCCTTTGCCAAATTGGGGAACTTTGCCTCCATTATTTTTTCAAATGTTTTCAATTTCTTGCTCTTCCTCTTCTCCTTTTGACACCCCTATGATTCAGATGTTGGAACATTTAAAGTTGTCCAGGAGGTTCCTAAGCCTCTCCTCATTTTTTTGAATTCTTGATTCTTCATTCTGTTTTGGTTGAATGTTTACTTCTTCCTTCTGCTCGAAATCGTTAATTTGAGTCCTGTTTTTCTTCCCTTTACTGTTGGTTCCCTGTACATTTTCCTTTATTTCTCTTTGCATAGCTTTCACTTCCTCTATTTTACAACCATACTCATCCATTTCTGTGAGCATCCTGATTACCAGCATTTTAAACTGCATCTAATAGGTTGACTATCTCT